AAAGTTATGCCTGTTTCTGATAGAAAGGTGACAGAACACAGTGCCTCACAGTTTTTTGTAGCACCATGGGCAACCTGACTGGTGATAGGTAAATAGAATAGGTAGTACTGAACAAGGGGGCAATGGAAGAAGGTGTCTGGAGGAGCACGAAAACGACTTCAAGGTGCTGCAAATTCCCCAGATCCCACCTCGCAACTTATGGGACATAAATGATCTGCTGTTAATGTCTTGGTGCCAGGTACCACAACACAAAGTTATAGTGAGGTCTACTGGAGTCCATGTCTTGTCAGGTCAGGTCTGTGTTAGTCTTGGCCTGATGACACCTACTTAATATTAGGTAGTAGATGGTCATAATGTTATGGCTGATCAGTATATTACATGAAAATATATGTTGATAACAAATTTTACTTTTCAACACTACCTTTCCTAAAGTTTACAGTGGTTGTAACATTTTGGGGGGAAAAAATGGTATCGAAAAGTGTTATTAATTATCAAAGGAATCATTTTCTTTTACAATCCGAGGAGCTACTGCTGTATAAAGCACATTATTGTTTCCCTTCTGTAAATGAAAGGATGAATCAATAAAGGGATCCCTTATGGACACCTGCAGACCTGTTCAGATAGCTGGACCTGTTCTTGGAGGTTTCTGATAATATCTTCCTCCTCCAGTGTGCTTCCCTCCACACCCAAGGCTGCTGGCAGGGCATCAAGCTGCTTCTCAACCGAGTCCTTCAGCTCTGCATGCAGCCTGGCAAAGGAAGGGTTCCACATTTAAAGGTATTCAAATATATCCTAATTAAAATGTATACAATTTAAATGGTTTGTTTTGGTTTTATTTGTAAATGAAAAAGCACAACCTTAAAGCAATCAGTGAAGTACAAATTATTTGGCTATTAACTAAGTCGTCCACTCTAGATGATGTAATTGTTGAAAAGGGACTAGCCAACAAACTACTATTAACATTCGTTTAACTATTTATATGTCACCTTTACTGAACACATGTAATCATGGTCACACTCAATTTTAAAATCACATAGATTTAAAACCAATTAATATCTTATATTCTCTAATAATCATTTTAACTACAGGAAAGCTTGGTTTGTGTTGAATCATGTGTTGACTGAGTGCTTTTGTCAAACTACCGTCCATTTGTCGACACCAGGGAAATGTGTCTACCTTTCGTTCTCCTTGACAACCCTCTCCAACTTTGCTTTGACATCAGTCATCAGCGACTGTTGATTTAAAACAGGTTCAACAAGTTTATCAATTAGTCAAGCCTTCACATTTAATAGCACTTGAAATGTAATGAGTCAAGATTTGCAAATTTGACTAAAACATGACATACAAATGACAAATTATCAGTATTTTTCAGGACTCCATAACAATGTTGTATAACAAAAAAAAAACACACATTCAAAGTTAAGTAGTTAAGTTTATCAATTGGAACAAATTTGTGTTCAAATAATTTGATTAAGATTGTGTTACACAGATTTTTGCTTTGACAGATATAATGCAGAGTAAAAAGGTGATCTTAAAAAGAGATTCAACTTCAACACCAGATTTAGTGTGGGTAGGCCTACTTAAAATATAGACCGGATTTTTTAGTTTTGTTATATCTGATGCAATCCAATGCAAAAACATGGCCTAGGTTGGTTATGTTAAACTAATGAAGGTCCTTTTTGTGACTATGTAAATAAAAACTTGTTGTGATAAGAGGTGGAAGTGAGATTTTTCTATCTGATTCATTGATCAGACATTGAACCGATTAATCGATTATCCAAATAATCGTTAGTTGCAGCCCCAGTATTCTTCATATGGTACTTATGGAAACAAGCTCAGATCAAAGCTTTCTTTTACTTTTTCTTTTTAGTATAATTACAATGTTGTCATCCCAAACTTGTAGGAATTTTGTGAAAATATGTCATTATTAATATTATGCTCCAACAATCTTTAATTTACTTGACTGAATTTGTAAGTTGTGTTTTCTTTTACCTGGTATCTCTGCAGCTGCTCAGTCATTTCATCCATGTGCCGATCATACTCAGCGATTAGAGGAGCGGTTACACTGAAACACATATCAGTTGTGATGTCACTCATGTAATTAAGTACCCGCTAACCAGTCGGCTCATATGAACAGATTTTTGTTCCAAAAACTTGAATGGGTGAATTTTTTTGCAAAATACAAGGCTGACTTTTAGATGTAAATGTTCCTCACCTTCTGTCTAAGATCCAGGGCGCAGATGAATCTGAACATCTCACCTCCTCAACCTGCTAAGCAGAAAAGATGCAGGGGCTGAGGGTTAGCATTATGTACTAGTTCATTTTAAATCCTGTTACTTATCAACATAATAAAGAATGCATTGAAAGTTTTCAAATAATGAAGCCCCCATGATCAAAAACTGTAACGTGCATTATAGGAGTAAGGAAAAAAAAAAAAAACCTTATTGCTTGACTCATACAGTGTGGGGATACAAAGGCTCTGTTATGCTAAAGCAGGCATTTATCTGGTAAAGCTTAGGTTTTCTTTTCTCCTTAGAAGGAGAGGACGGTCTTTATCAGTTAATGCATACCAATCAATGGTAAAATGGTTAATAGATTACATTCATATATCATTTTTCTAGTCCTCTAGCAACTTATTTAATTCACTTACTCAAGGCTATGCCTTTGGCAGCAACTGGGGTTCAGTCTCTTTCCAAATAAACATGGGAGTGCAGTAGCCAGGGACTGAACCAACAATTCTCAGAACAGAGAACAGCCTGAATACCCCCTGTGGGGATCATCACTCAGTATAAAATTGTTTTTGGTGATTACTTAAATCTCATAATAAACAGTACTATCCTAATCAAGGTGGTCTCTCTAGAATGACAAACCCCCCCAACAAAAGGGAATTAGTGTTTTCTAGTAAAAAGAAACAGTAACACAGAAGTGTAGAATCAATGCCAAAGTGGACTGATAGCCCTACACCCTACTATGACCTTGATTGTAGTTTTCCTCTATATGTATGGTATATAGACATGTAGATGAATAGTTATCTAAGAAAGTAGAACACAAACATAAAAAAATAACTGCGGTCACAAAATAACAAAAATAATTTTCAGTTAAACAAAGTTTACCTGCGATGATGTGGACTGAGAATGGCTTCCAAACTGATACCGACTGAGGGCAGAATTTAACCTGTGAACTAAAAGCAAACAAAAATGCAACAAAATCAACTTGTTTGAACATTCAGATTTAACAAGTTTTGTCACAAAACATTTTTTTTAAAGGGGTCTTGTGTTTATTGTACTACAAACTAATGTGTTTCCTTTCCAGCTTCAGGTTATTTTTTGGTGAGATAATTAAACAAAACAGGCTATCTTACTTTACAGAATTTTAATGTAAGTGATGGAAAAATGACCTGCATTTAAAACCTGATATAATAGTAAAATTGCATTATCCGCTTTTATCATAAAAGAATGGTTCATAATAACATAATTGTCTTACACTATTGTATTAAAGCGACTGATGCATACATGTGGTCAACACTTTAGTGTAACAGTAAAGCCAGAACTCACTTTAATTACAGTTGCATTTTAAACTAGTGTTTATAAAATGATGGATTGCCCCAAACAGCAAAAAAAAAAAATCAACCTAATGAAATGTAGTTTATTTGTTATTATATTTTGTATTTCTTATGTGAATCTGAGAAGTAAGTTACATCAGTGGAGGTGAAAAGCAGAACTGTAGACATCAGAAAAAGGAAAAAAAACTAAAGTAAATAATTTGTGCCTCAACCTGTACTCAAGTACAACACTTGTTTTGGTGTTTTTAAAAAGCTTAGTTCCGTAATTAATTTGACCGTTTTTGAGACCATCATCAGGCAGGTGAAGGTGCTGATCTCTCTCAGGTATGAAAGCCTCACAGTGATGACAACAACACTTTGATGTTTATGATAAAGATTAGGGCTGGGAATCTTTGGGTGTCTCACGATTCGATTTGATATCAATTCTTGGGGTCACGATTCGATTCAGAATCTGTTTTAGATTCAAAAAGAATTCTGGATTCATAGATCCACGCATTCAAAGTCTATTTTTTGAATGAGTACATACTTCAGGATCTACTCCAGTCACCAGTCATGTAAAATCTCAGAAGATAAGAATCTCAATTTTTACATAAATCGATTTTTTTTTTCTCCCAACCCTAATAAAGATGATTAAAACTAATAACAGAAGTTGTTTTAATTCAGCTATAATTTGTCAGAGCACTGTGTTAGGAATTTGGCATCATTTAAATGAGGTTTCAGACTGATCCAGACATAATACCACTTGTGCATGTTAGCTCCTTCAGAATTTTGACTTGTAATCAGGAGCGTCACGTCCCACACACATTATGGTGACACCTTATTGATCACCTTTAATCTGCCATTGCATTAAAGTAGCCCCTTTTGCACCGCAAAGCTACAGAGAAGATTGAAAGACTCATCACTTTGACTTAATAGTTGACTTAAACAATATCAGTATCCAAAAGATAAACATGCACCGGTGTAACAAAATAAATAGTGACAATGTTAAGTGGTGACCTTTAGCCGATTGAGTCTGTGCTCGTCGTAGTTACAACAGATGTTGTTTTTTATAATATATAAATACTCATCAGATGTCTTTAATGAATAAACTAACAAACGCAGCCACATAAGAAATATCTTTACCTTGATCGCGTAGGAACTCCACCTCTTCCTCCATGATGATATCTTTATATACAGAAGTCAAGGGGAAAATACAAACTTATTGTCAACATTCAGGTCTCTTTAGAAGCTTGCGTTTGGTCAGCTTCTGTCGCTCACTGCTGGAGTTGAACGGTGTCTCAAAACACATCGTAAACAACCCGCGCTGTTAGTGACGCGAGTTACCCAGCTGCTAAGTCCGGAGGCTGTGCACTTTAAAAGCCGTCCGACTGTATCAGACAGACGTGAAGTAGTTCCGCTCTGCTGCTGCGTTCCAGTTGCAAGTCGGAAAAGCGACATGAACACCTCCAGGAACACGTTTGTTTTGTCAGCGAATACCAGACGATAACAACACACTACATGACAGAAAATATAACATGAAAACACCTCCACTAAGCTGCTAATAAACTCAACAGGTACATATTAAACATCCCTTTCGATGCACGTAGCAGCCTTACTGGATCTGAACTCGGGCTACTTGTTAATTCGCAAACAAACTCAACAACAAGTAAGTAAGTTCGCATTCACACAACATGTGATGCCTTTTTTCCTGATGAGGAAGTCAGTTTAACCCATAGGTTTGACCTCACTAAGCGGTGCTCCATAACTTTGACAGAGTAACAAAACTGCTTTGACAAACACTGTAACCGGAAACGTGGTAGCCTACATTACCCCGACACGTATCCATTCTGCTGCACTGTTTTATTATTTTATTATAAGGTCTCATGGCAGGTTCTCTTTCTTATCATTTTATTCTTCTTTCAGTCTTCGCAAGGAAATGCAGTTTTTGATTGAGCACACCTGGGACAGCAGCCCTGTGACTCATGACCCTGTCAGGCTCGTTTTCTCTCCTGGACAAGAGGGAATGAAAATTGAAGTGTTTGGTCCCTTCTTCAATGACCCAGCAGGTCCGGCATGTCCCCAGAGTCAACCCTTCCCTGGACTGTGGGATTATGAAGGTGGGTACCAAGATAGCAGCTCAGGTAATGCTTTAGGCCTTTAAATACTGTTGTGTGTGCACTTTGTTTGTGTTTACCTGTTCTCCACTGTTGCTGCTATTTCTAAATAAAAGAATCTTCAGCATCTTTTGGATCCCTTGTGACATTTATGGAGGGCAGGGTTCATGCATGAAAACAATACATGGCTTAATAATTAAATAAAATGCTGGTAATGAAAGTGGAAATAATAAAATACCTATTAAACTTGGTAACCGATTACATTTTAAAATGGGTAAATACTGTTAAAAAAAAAATCATGGATAAGTATCAAGAACAACACGTACAGAAATGTCTTTATGTATACTTTATTATGTGGCAAGATAAAAGAGCAAAGGCTACGTCTGGTGTTGTGAGTGTTTTCCTGGCCACTTTCTCCAGGGTCGCCCTCTTTGGTGCCCACTTTCCACGTGTGAGCAAAGTTCTCAGTCTGAAGTTGGTCCCTTCTTCCAGCTTCACGTGCTTCCTCCTCATTGTGAGGCTGACTTCTTCAGCCTGGTAGGCATCCATCTCAGCTGCTTGCAGGCTGTTTCTCCTTTGCTGCTGGCGTTTACCCTGCCTGGCAAAGCGTGCAATGTTTGTCTGCGTAATGTCTGTGTGGCCCAGATGTAGAGATGGTGCCCAGTCTGGATCAGTCTCCATCATTTCTTTAGCAGGTTGGCCTGTAATGACATATAGTTTTAAAAAATATAGCACATGACAATTCCCTGTCATTTTAAGATCTTAATAAGACCTGATGATCTGAAATCTTTTGTCGACTAGCTTGGCTAAACTAGGCATGACTCTGAAGTTAGTTTAGCCAATTTTTAGGCCGATAAATAACTAATCAAGCAACATTGTAAACACAACAAAAACAATGTGACTTACCCTTATGCAAGTGTTGAGATCGAATATACATAAAAAGGAGATATCTTAGCGAACGTTTGTGTTCATTCGATGCCTCTTTGATATATCCTCTACCTGCGGTCCAAAGCCCCTTTTCCAGGTGGGAAACTTAAAATAACGTGCCTCGTTGTCAAGTGCTTTACCTTTCACGTCGTGGGACTTATTTCTGCAAATAATCACACAACATGAGCGCACAATTTCTCCAAAAAAAGGAAGCAAAGCAAGACATGTGTGCAGACGTGACTTCTGATCCGTATGTAAACAAAGAGCTACTACCGCCAACATGGCGCATATAGCCACAATGCATTGCGGTCAGCGTTAGCAATACATCACCTAGACTGATTTAAGGCATGCACTAAATTGTACACTAGTGTATTTATTTGTCATGTCTTCATGGTTCAGAATAAGAATCAGAAATACTTAGTTTATATCTGCCAGGTTTTTTTATGGTTGTTGCACTTTTCTAGTCTTCTGACGACTATAAGGGCTTTCAGTCACACTTACCCTTTACACCATATTCACATTCTGATGGTAGAAGTTGCTTTATTAATCTGTATATCCATCAGTAGTCATCAATCAATTTTTGTTTGTATAGCGTCAACTCATAACAAGTGTTATCTCAAGACACTTTACAAAAAGCAGGTAAAAGACCATACTCACTGTCTTTTGATATTACAAAAGAGCATTGTTACTCATTGTTATGTTACAAAAAGCAGGTAAAGGACCTTACTTATCGTATATTACAAAGTATTAGTAACTAATACACACATACACATTCCCACGTTGCTTACATGGCAGGGAGGAATTTGGGGTTCAGTGTCTTGCCCAAGACATTTGCTGGGGGATCGACCCCCGGCATTCCGGTTTAACATCGACCAACTTTTGAGTCACTATGCTTAATCTAGCAGTATGAAATATGGTAATATGAAAATAAACAGAAATAAAATAAGAAATAAGCAAGAAGTAGCATAAAACGAACTGAGTATTTGTAGAAATAAAGCTGTGTTTAAAAAGCACAGAGTTTTGAAGAAATAATGATTGTATAAAAAAAAAAACAGAATTTCAGAAGTAATGCAATTTGTACAAAAAGCTTTTAAAAGTAGAGATTTGCAATGGGGCCCTCGATTGTTTTCCATTTTAGTATCAATATTTTCATCCTTGGTTATTGAACAAAATGTTGACTGGTTTAGATTCAGAATGCAATATAAATTATTTATACCGGTAATAAAGAACCAGTCATACTGTTAAATTAATGGTCGTTTCTTGATATAATTGGGGTTTTTTCTACATATCCTCAGTTGTGGAGTCTTTCTTCCTTGATAGTTCAACAGAAAACTACCTAGAAGTGGAACTTTGTCCGTGAGTAAAGTGCCAAGCTTTTGTAACGTTCTAGTCTCTGGTCATTTGTTCAATCTCTTAATACATATGTACTGTGTTTTCATTTTAGTCATGGGCAGCACCTGATTCTATTGCTGTCTGGAGTTCGCCAAGCATTCATGGTAGGCAGACTTCTCAGTAATTAAAGGGTGAAATGGTACTTGAGTACTGTAAGATGTTACACATTTAATTGAAATTCTTTCTACAGCAACAACTGCCCATGGTGTTTAAAACCACAATAACAGACAACAGGTGGATGGGTGAGGCTCTTGTACCCTGGTCATACTTTCCTCCCAATGTCAATAAGATGAACTCTTACTCCATCCATGGCTCAGGTGAGAAGCGTACGTATGAGGCTCTCTATCCTATCCCCAAAGAGGAGATAGTGGACGGACAAAAACCAAACTTGTGAGTATTCATACTCCTTTGACTACAATTGTTTGAGGTCATGAAGGTCATAAACACAGACATTATTTATCGTTAAACATTTTTTATTTCTTATCGTTGACTCTAGAAATTCAGTATTACAATGGTGAACTTGTGAGAGAGAAAGAAAGAGTGTTGGAATCAAAACAGCAGTGGTTATCCTGACTTTCATTTCCCAATATGTCAGGTTACAAAATCACTGGGATATTACTTAGAACTCTGGGGTGTATCTGGTTGACAAAGGTACAGTCTGTTTTTTGTGTTCAGAATAAATGAAGACAGACAGAAACCAGGAACAGGAACTTGAATGTTCCCACTGGGGATCAATAAAAGATTATGTTATCTTAACAGGTCGTTCTTTGTTTCTTTTGGGTCAAAAACATAAAGCAATTATTCGGTGGAAAACAAGATAAAAATTTCAGCTTCAACTTTTATTTATTCATTCTTACTGACGAAAAATTCAGTAAGAGCCTCATTTTTTTTTTTTTTTTTAATTAACCTTTATTTAACCAGGTAATTAATCCATTGAGATAAAGATCTCTTTCACAAGGGTTACCTGTCCAAGAGGGCAGCAGCACATATCATAAAACATATTACATGATAAAGAAAAAATAAGTGAAGAGAAAACAACAATTACAATGTACAAATGGGTTCGCAGATAAAGTGGAGGGTTGTGATCACAGATTACAATTTAAAATCACAAGCAATGTTTTTATTTTATTTTAGTCACGCATTTAATAATAAATCATAATTATGGGGATTGAGGATCAATTTAACATCACAGCCTCCTATAAAAGTATGGTATTTGATCGAATATAGCTTTATCTATGTCTGTCTGACAGTTTATATTTATTTCACAATAAAAATAATTTTACTTACAGGGTTTGTATACAGTACAAAAGAAACTTTCCAGCAGAAACCTATGTGATTGTGATGACTCTTCCTATATATGTTCATATAAGTTATTCACAATAAACGGATTAGCTTTCTGTGCTGTAAGCCTTAAATTAAATTATATGCCATTAAACAATGGTGCTCATAAAGTTGCTGGTTTTAAAAAAAATAAGTGGCTGGTAAAGCTTTGAATCTACCAGCCACAGTTGCAGTTTGATCAAAAAGTCAATTTCCAACCCTGGTCCAGAAAGGAATCCTGACTGCAGTGGTACTGTGGGTGTACAATGTGGTGATTCTCCCTATTCTCCCTCGTTAATTTGATTATAAAAACATTTTTTGTCCACAAACTTTTTTTTCCGTAACAGGAATGGGATGTTGACGAGCTAAAAGTGAGTTTCGAAAAGGAAAACAATGGAAAAAACACATGTTGTTATATACATATATTTTTTGTTGTTAATGAAATGAGGCGGGAATAAAATATTATTGGTGGGCTGTCATGCATTCAAAATCAATGTTATTTTCCTTCACTGTGCATCTAATCAGTCAGTCAAAAGACAAGAAGAAGAGAGGAAGGGTGTGCACTGCCAGGCAGAGAGCAGTCCTAACAGCCTTGCAAGTGACACAGCGTAAAATAGCATGACACGACGCACCATTTTTACCCCCCCATTTCTTTATTCATTCCTGACTATCATGTAGACATGGATGAGAAGATCTACCCTGGTAGATCTGGTGGAAATGCACGTAGTTCCTCAAAAAGACCATAGTTCTGGGGGATAGTTCCTCCGGTCGAAACTGGGCTTAACAGGAAAACTTTTCTTTGATTTCCTTATGATTTTCTCACTCAGTAGAGCTTGCTAGATTGTTTTACAAAGTGGAGATAGTGGTGCGTTAATAATATCCATTATCCGTGTTGAAATGCTCTTGTGTCAACACCAGAGAAAAACTTTGCTCACTGTGAGCAGATCATTGACAAGCCTTTGAGTGTTGTGATTTGAGACAAAGCTTGTTTATTTAAAGCAGCACACTTTATTTGGTCCACCTTCATTTAAAAGCACTAGATGTCATACTGTTCGCAAGGGGAAACTGAAATTCCCAAAGCAAAGTAGTAAATATTTAGTGGATGCAGTATTATATATAATAGTTATATACAGTAGTATAACTGGCAGTTATATAGATAAATATTTTTTGGGTGTGTCTATATTTTGCCTATCCCTCATTATATTCTCTCTCTCAAAGCCACCGTTTGGAGTATTTCCAAAATTTTCGCCTTCAAAGCATCATGGGAGAAGATTGGGTCCAGCCAGAGACTGATCTGTGGAAGGACAAGGCCTGATCAATACCTGAGCATCTCAGTAGCATGGCAAAAGTACAATACACAGCACAGTGGTGCAGCTGTGGTACCACACAGAGATGCACTGTGTCAAGATGCTCTCTGTGATGCTACTTTAGAAGGTCACCAGCAGTTGTTGGGGCAGGCCAGCTTTTTTCAACATCCTCAGGAAGAACAATGCTGCTGGATATTTTGCAATCATTCTATTAACTACAGGAACTTCTTCTCAAATTATATTTTCAGATTGATTTAATGAAGATGTGTATTAAGTGTATTAATGTAATTGAGACATTTCTCTTTAATTGTATTAAATTGTATTTCAGTATTTTGATAATCACTACTCAGACATCCTTTCTTGCTCCTCTTTTCTGTGGTTCAGAAATAAGAGCTTTAGGACAGTATTCAAGATGGTGGACGGGAAATTATTTGAATTGGAACGAAAAGAGCAGAGAATTATCAGATAGAAGACTTTGGAAGTACCCTCTGTAACTAGGCTGGCAATGTTTTTTAAAACCTTTTTTGGCACAGGAATGACACTTAACTCTTCCTGATTAGCTAAGTACAACACAAGCAAGGATCTAGAAAAGAAGAAACAATGTCAGTAAGAGCAAACGATCAGCTTTGAGTCCACAGGTGCTGACAGGCATTGCACAGAGGCAAAGCATAACATTGACGGCAGTTCTTGAGAGCTCTAATCAGTATAGAAACCATCTTAAAAGTAAAAGTAATATCAAACAAAACCATCATCTTTACCATCATCATCATCAATAATATCGAGACCATCGTCATCCTCATCATCAAGTTCGTAGGTAAACCAGCCATAACAACTAAAGCAACATGTACTTGTTAATTAGAAGCAGAATTGGGAAGGTGACGCACTTTTGGTTGATAAGATGATTTCCAAAGTACCAATAGGCACTTACTGAAGTGGCAGCCAATCAATTTTTCAAGCTTTACATTTTTTTAACTTAATTAAAATATACCAACATGACAGAGAAATCAGCCTTCTGATTAAAGTCTCAAAAATAAATCAAGTAATCCGATGTAAAAAAAAACATAAAACCATATCTTTGACCTGGTCCATGTGTGTTGTGTGTACTTGTTTATAAAATTATTGTATGATATTTATTCTTGATGACAAATAAAATAAAATAAAGTTGGTTGAAAGGTGCTTGAAATATTGCGTTGACTCATCCTAACACTTTTTCCACACACTTTTTAATCCCTATGAAATGGATGTCTCAGGAGTGAAGCTTTTAATGGTACTCATAGGAGTTGAGATTACAGGACTTTAGAACTCCAAAATATATCAGCAGACACACAATGATTGGAATGTCACAAATCTCTGTCGTCTCTCCATGAAACCTCAGGTCATGCTCCTGCTACAGTCCTTAGTTCATGTATTTGTATCCTCTCAGACCACTGGCTGGAAAACCTCTTCTCCCAACAAGCAGACTGGGGAGGGATTGATCCTCATGCCTGATGTTTTGCTCTACCCTGTAGCAGCCAAGAGCCATTATAGAGCCTTGTCAAATTTAATTGGCGATTATGCCTGTGAAATGTGTGCTGGCATTGTTTGATACTTCTCTGCTGTTACCAGGGACATAAGAATATGATATGACTGCACACAGCTACCTGTGAACAGGCAGAAGACCTAAGACTAAGACTTTAACCCAGTTCTCTTTAATTAGTGGGGAGAGAAGAGAGCAGTAGAGGCTGCTGCCTCCCCTCTCCTGCCAAAGCCACGTCAGGGCGACGGGCCTGTAGTCGTACTGTGATGGCAAGGTTTTTTCACAAGGTCTTTTTCAAAATAATTTGTTATGTTTCGTATTTTTACATTTTTTTCATTAGGGGTGGGGGTGTTTCGTTTTTAAAAAAAAAATTTGTTGGGGGGGTTAAATTGAGCGTATCTCATGAAGCGGAGTTCAAAATTGACAGAAAAGATATTTGTGAGAAATAGGGTCACAATGTTTTTTACAATAAAAGTGTTGTTGTAATGTAAAAATACTGTTAGAAGTAGTAACTCAGACAAATGAGATGAAACAATTGTTCTGATATAAAATGAGTGCAGCTACATGAAATAACGTCAAAATCAACAATCTCAGTGACAGTTACAAAGAAAACTTATTCTGACCACATTTTTTCAATAAAAGTGTTGTTGTTGAAGCCATTTTGTATGTTTGCTCATTCAGTTTCATGTTTATATATTTTGCATTTTTTGGCTATGAATCCTGATTAGGCCTATATAGGTGCGTATTGAATTGTTTATTATTCTCTGCCGTCTGCCGATTAACATGATTGTCTGACATCTGAATGAGTGACGTAATCTGAAGGTGTGGCAGAGCCTTTTAATTTAGCTCAGGTGTGGAGACTGGCTGTGAGAGTGGAAGGGTCAAACAATTTTTCAACCGTACCTTCATGCACAGTTTGGGAGTCTTTTTGTTTTAAGTTAGAGTTAAGGAATGCATTTGCTGCTCTAAATAAATGGCTCACCGTGATCAAAGTGCGCGTTGTCTTACTGACCACTCTTAACATGAAGTTGAAAAATTGCCCAGCTGATCGCTGGGAGAGAACAACGTTGGAAGGATTTCATGAATGGAAACAGCAAAACAAGGGATCGATCAGCTGTTTTGGTTTGTCAGAAAGCCAGGAACACCGGTACCGTGATGCGCTACTTCATGATTATGGACAATCAAACATTAAAGAAAGGTAGAAAGTGTTTGGATGTGCAAAAGAACCCTCAACCCTAATAAATACCAAAATACATGAACCCAAATGAACTCAAGCGATCCCAAAACAGCTGATCACCACCGCTGCACGGAAATCACACACAGCTGATCGTGTCTCATCGTAATGCACAGATAAAATACGAAGCATCATATAGAATAATGTATTGCGCTTACATGACGAGCGACATCAATTAAAGATAATTAAACCAATCTGGTCAAGCGTGAATAAATAAAGCGTGATGGTGACGTCTCTGTAACCTTCATTAGCAGCACCTGCGGAGGAGCTGGCGGAAATTGGTTTTGAGTCGACGCCACGAGTCAGACACGAGGACACAAGACACCTGAGAGACTGAATCTGAAGTAACGTTTGTTTTTGTTTGACAATGCCAGAGGAAACTAAACATCCGACCATTCTGCCCAATGACAGCCATTTCTCAAGTCTACACTTCACACCTTAGTGGGACTAAACCAGATGCTCTCAAAGCTCAGAAAGAAATATTGGATCATCAAAGCCAACTCAGCTGCAAGAACGATAACCCGCAACTGTGTACTCTGCAGGCGATGGCATAGTACTGCAATGAAACAGAAGATGGCCGACTTACCCCTTATACGCAAGATACCGGGTTGAATACTATCAGTCGGACTTAACAAGTGCCTTTCAGAACACGACCCCACCACACAACTCAAACAGCTACAGACTATGTGGAGGACCATCCAGACCACCTTCCCCAACGCCACCATTTACATCCCCGTCATAAACTTCTCACCCAGACTGGACAAATTCAAACAGACACTACTGAAGAACTCAACGAAACTGAACTAACTTCTTTGAAAAAGAAGTCTGAAGAAACAGTGACTGACTACATTATTCGAGCTGAAAAAGCAGTGACTTCTCTGAGAAATGCAAAGGAAACAATAAGCAACGGACTGATAATAGCCATGATTCTGAAAGGACTTCCAGAAACATACAAGCCTTTTGCAATACATACAACTCAAACCAGTGAAGAACTATCATTTACACAGTTCAAAAGCAACCTACGGAGTTATGAAGAGACAGAAAAATTCGACAACAAACCAAAGTCGGACAACGTTATGAAAGTGGATGTATCTTCTGTAACATGCTACGGATGTGGACAACGTGGGCATGTTGCTAGAGATTGTCGTCAAAAAGGAGCACCAAAATGGTGTAGCTTCCACAGAAGCTCAACACACAGCAACGAAACATGCAGAAGAAAGACCAACTTCAAAGATGATGCAAAACAAACTGCTGAAAGACAAGAAAAGCATGAGGAGGAACAAACCTTTGTATTCAAAGTAAGTCACAACTTTCTACCAAATGACATTAAAGAAAAAGGACTGATGGTTGATTGTGGAGCCACATCACACATCATAACAGAGAAAGACAAATTCACAACATTTGATGAGTTGTTTAACCCAAAGAAGCACTACATGGAGCTAGCTGATGGATCCAGGGCAAACAACGTAGCATTGAAACGTGGTGACGCGGAGGTGTATCTGCAGGATCCAAATGGAAGACTCGTCCCTGTCATTCTGAAGGAGGCCTTGTTCATACCAACGTATCCTCAGGATATATTCTCTGTAAAAGCAGCCACAAGCGATGGTGCCAAAGTGGTCTTCAAAAGGGGACAAAATGAACTCACAACCAAAGATGGAATCGTCTTCTGCATTGAAGAATACGAGAGACTGTATTATCTGAAAATGGTAAATAATCACACACAATGTGATGACACAGTTAATACTATGATATTCAGTGACGGTGTAAACTTAACTTGTGATGTCAAAACATGGCATGATATTTTGGGTCACTGTAATGTAGATGATGTGCTAAAATTACCAAACGTGGTAGATGGTATGAAAGTCACAGGTAGTGCTAAAATAGACTGTATTGTCTGCACAGAAGGAAAATTCACTAACAGCAGAAATAGGAAAACCGATGCCAAAGCTAATGCACCTCTAGAACTGGTACACACAGACTTAGCAGGTCCTATTGAGCCAATTAGTCGAGAAGGCCACAAATACGCCATTTCATTCAGGGGCAGTGTCTGTGTATTTCCTCAAAAACAAGAGCGACACAACATTAGCAAAGGAAAAGTTTCTGGCAGACTGTGCACCATACGGTAGTGTAAAATGTATCAGATCCGACAACGGTACAGAGTTTATGAGCGGGGCTTTTCAGTCCCTATTAAGAGAAAAGAGTATTAGACATGAGACGTCATCACCATATTCCCACATCAAAATGGGACAGCTGAAAGACAGTGGAGGACCCTTTTTGAAATGGGAAGGTGTTTATTACTGGAAAAGGGATTACCTAAGATATTGTGGCCTTATGCTGTCCAACATGCAGCTCATATCCGCAACAGATGTTACAATGACAGAACAAAAAGTACCCCATACTACATGCTAACAAAAAGAAAGCCAAATCTATCAAAAATGTGGATATTTGGATCAGACTGTTACGCATATAGACATAACCAGAAGAAGCTGGACCCCAGATGTGAGAAGGGAGTATTTGTGGGATACAGTAAGAATAGTCCAGCTTACCTGGTTTACAACCCAGAAACGGAAAAGGGACAAAAACACAGAC